TAAGATGTAATAGAGGGCACTTTTGCATTTCGCTCTCATTCGAGATTTGTACGAGGTTTTTGAGCAACAAATAAACAAAAAAAATGTGTGGTGTCGTGGGACACCGGATAGGAACCAAGTTCCTTATTATAAAAATAATAATTTTAAGTTCTATTCGAGGTCTAAAGAAAATAAAACTGGAGGTTTCGCAACAACCCATGGTCATTCGGTAACGTACGATCTTATTATGGTACACTTCATTCACGGTTGTTTGCATAAGGGTTAGTGTATTGCGCAAACGAATGCTCTGAGATCGTGGTCAATAAATGATAAAAAATATGTTATTTTTTTGTACTTTATGTGCATTACTAATGAAAATCTTACGTTACGGACGTTTTTTCCCGCTCAGGGCACCCCTCCGCATCGTGCCAAAAGGAGCCTCGTTAAAAAAAAAAATACTATTCAATAATTAATTATCTTATTAAATATTTGCACGATATTTTAGAATAAGACTGTTTAAAAAAGTATTATTTGAATTAGGAATTAACTTGCCCGACTCCACCAGACTTTAAATTCAGTACCATGTACCCCACAAGTGCAAATGCTTTAACTCGTCAAACTAAGTTGTTAATTGTCGTTAACTTACTGTGTTCTCGACATCGGATCGGTTATCGATCATCGTGGAACCGGATTTCCTCTCGTTCAATACGGTCGTTCGGTAATTACGAATGACATTAATTCACCGTGGCTTTCTCACACACAGGCGTAATGTTCAGCTAACATTTTTGAATTAGATATTGTTGATATGATTTTTTGTGGGCGTGTGACTTTTCCTATACTGTAATTGAAGCTCAAGCCAACTGACTTGATTTGGTGAACACTAAGGTTGATAATCTACCTTGAGTTACAACGTCTAAATCTCACACGGACCGAAACATTTTGATGACCATAGGTGGAAAGGACGCGTGGGAAATACAATAGTATTATGAATAGTATATTGTAATTGTATAAATGTAAGAAAAATATTCTGATAATATTGAATAAGAAGTGACGCAAAAATTAATAATTGTGTCAAAGAGTTGAAATCAAGTAAAAACATAAAAAAATATTGTGAATAGTCTCTTAGTTTAGGCAAAAAAAAATCTGATATGTCTTTGTCGCCACGACGACTACTTATATAATTTAATCACATTTTGTTAACATAAGTTATATTACACAGGCTCTATCGGCTTTCTCAATTAATCAATCCATTACAGAACATATAAAAAAAAGGCTTAAATGTATCAAAGTATGGCTTACATATAAAGTACCAAAAATTTTAATAAATACGTCCTTAGAAATTCCCTATACCTTTTATTCCACTGATAGTTACCGATATACGTAATACAAAGGGGCCTCTGTATCTGAGACTAAAAGTATTCACGTAAACATTAGCATTTGGTATTATCTCAATGCTTGTATTTATCGCTTTTATCTTGACTGAAACTTTTTTCCGCTTGTAGATTTTGGGGTTTTCGTTCGCGACTTCTGTGTGTCAGATGAGCTGCGCAAAACCGGTCATTTGTCTTCGTCAAGCGCCAGTTTAAACTATGTTCGCCGAGACTTTGAATGGAGCAAATGACGCATTCACGGCGTTATTGATGTATCCACGTGAGAGGCGAGCTTTATTCCAAAGCCCCAAGAAGCTTTCCGCTCTACAAGTCTCAAAGGTCCGGACTGAGTGACTTGTGGCAGTTTCGCGTTTGTATAGAATTTAAGGAGACTGTTTGTTAGTTAATCTAAAGGGCTTAGTTTGTAAAGATGCCTTTAGAGTGTTACTTAACAGGCCTTTGCTTTTCATTCAAATTATTTTAACAAGCTGAATTGGCAAACATTTCCTTTTAATGTTACAAACTCTACGTATATCTAAAACACATCACTTGTTTTAAGACACAATTTCTTAATAAATAGTACATTATTAATGTTAAATGTGTTCATGACTGCTCACAGCTCCTGTCGGGTTGTCATGCTGCTGATCTGCGAGGACACGGAAAATGTGGTTCTTATAGGCTTAACCTCGTGCAATAAAAATCGAAACCGCAAATTTTAATTTGCGTAATTACTGGTGGTAGAACCTCTTGTGTGTCCGCGTGGGTAAGTATGGTGGTACCCCACCTATTTCTGCCGTGAAGCAGTAATGCGTTTCGGTTTGAAGGGTGGGGCAGCCGTTGTAACTATACTGAGACCTTAGAACTTATATCTCAAGGTGGGTGGCGCATTTGCGTCGTAGATGTCTATGAGCTCCAGTAACCACTTAACACCAGGTGGGTTGTGAGCTCGTCCACCCATCTAAGCAATAAAAATAAAAATAAAGCTCATGTAAGCTAGTTAAAAATACAAATATCTCTCAGTGAGTACCTTCTTATGAAATGGGCCTTTCTATATTCTAAGGCATAAAAGTAGCTTTTAACGAAGTTATATTTATATTATGCGGAATTAAATTATGTGGAAGTAAATTACGCGCAAAAATATGGATAATTATACTACTCTCCTACGCTAAATTCGTTCATTATTTTTTGAAAAGCGACACCAAAACAAAATCAAAGAATACGGCAATGACACTAATCTCGTTAGTCTTATTAACACAATCAACAGGCTTAATTAATTCTTTTATTCAAATTCTAAAACAGATATACAAAAATAAAAATGAAGACACACAGAATAAATGTAACGAATAAAATCTAAATATTTAAAAGGTTGGAGGGGAAGAAGAAGCCGAAGAGATCCTTTGAATTCTTCTGAGCCATTAAGCTTTTATTATTTTATAATTAAGATGAATCTGTTTTCGTTTCCAAAATGTCAGTGAGTAAGGGAAACGTTCTCGCTCTAACCGCTAAAGAGTGTAAGTTTTTTTTTCCTACCAAAGTTGGTAGTCTTTAGAGGCTATGTCAGCGTAACCGAGTGAGTAGGTGAGCTCACGGGGCTCTAACCTGACGACGTTGCTAATATTAGGAGTTAAAGTATCCCGCGGGAGTTGCTGGACTCCTACCGGGCGCGTCCGTAGGTGGCGGATAACGGGCCTCTGGGCACCATTCCCAGAGGCATCGTTCCGTCTCTCTCGTTTTGTTACAACGAGAGAGACCGAACGACGTGGACCAAAACCAGCTCTGGGGGTTCCAAGCTCTCCTCCCCCTTCACTTGTTGAAGGGTGGTTCTCCTGGAGAAGCGTGGNAAAAAAAAAAAAAAAAAAAAAAAAAAAAAAAGGAGTTAAAGTATGAAATTGCCGATTTGTACTGAAAAATTGAAATCGTTTTTTTTTATTTAACATATTTATTTGATCAAAATATGTACCATTATTATCTATACATTGCTGCCATCGAATAGGAAGGTCATTTACGCCTTTGCGATAGAGCTCTGGTGATCTGAATTCTACAAACTGTGTGAAAGCATTTTGTACTGCCTCCTGGAAAGAAAATTTTTTATCACGTAGAAAATTGTCCAAATCACGAAAAAAATGGCAGTCCGTTGGAGCAAGGTCAAATACGGAGGGTGACAAATAGTTTCTAATTGTAGTTTCTGTAGAGTAAAAACGGTTTCTCGTGCTGTATGAGCAGTGCAAGCAAGAGCAGTGGTTCGCAGAATCTACCACCGGACCGGAAAAATGACCCACTGAGAAGATCTGGCGAGAAACTTTTTAATCAATGGGCCAATTGAAATTCAAATTTTTTTTTGCGGGCCGCTCATTCTTTACCTCTTATTAATAATTTCCGAAACTTTAAAAACAAACAAGAAAAGAACAGAAAAACGAACTGATGGGAGAAAGTCGATAAAATAAATTCAATTTTAGAAATGCTTGGAAGGGCCGCAAGCCGCCCGCGGGTCGCGTGTTTCTCATGCTTGGGCTAGAGTACATCGACAGTAATTGTGCGAACGATCCGATGGTAGCTCTGACTGCTGTTGTGAGAGTCGTTGGTTTGATTCCCCCGTCAATAAATATTTGTGTAAAGAACAAATTTGTATATCAATTTGCGAATTTTCTGTAAAAAGATCAATTCTCGTTTAGGGTCAGATGACCGTATGTGATCGGGTTTTAATTTCTGTAGAAGGTAACAACTTTTCTTAACGTTCTCGCACCACTTCTGAATACATCTCATAAAACTGAAGCCGTAAGGTATCTGTGAGCCCGCACGGTTAGGTACCCCAAATCTGTCTATTTCTGCCGTGAAGCATTAATGCGTTTCGGTTTGAACTTTTTTTAATCCTACCTATGCTGATAGCCTTGAGAGACTATACCAGCGTTATCCTAGCGTGTATGTAAGCTCTCGGGGCTCAAACCAGAGGGTGTTGCTAATACTAAACCTAGCAAGGGCAGTGCTTCGCAGAATCTACTACCGGATCGGAAACGCGACCTACTGAGAAGATCCGGCGAAAAACTCAGTGAGCTGTGTTTGTGGGCGGTTTGAACGGTGGGGTAGCCGTTGTACTGTGAATAATAATATGTACAATAATACGTAGAATTACTTCTTAATTATTACCGTTCTAATAATTTGATGTGTTATTTTTATTACTCAAATTTTCTATTATACGAGTATGTCAAATCTTGTAACGCATGTTTTTGAGTGTAATAATTATTAATAATAGTGATGTCGTTTTGAGATAAATCGTGTTTTGGTCCTCACGATACAGGCTATGCCTAGTGTGAGCATCAGTTAATATTATAGTATTGTTGATGCCATCTGCGTAATCTCTCAATTTGTTAAACATGTAAATAGTATAAATAAGTCGTGATTGAAGAGTTTATGTAGTCAATAAATTATTATTATTATTTTCCCTTTCGTTTCCCCTTTCTCAGTTCAGTCTGTCGACAGAGCCGGTAGAACTGGTATAGGCTTGACTGATATTGGCCAAGTAATATGCAGTAGCTATGAGTTAATATGCTAGTTTTTATTACGTTTATTAAGTTTGGTTTTCTTCAAGCTGCAGGAACTTTCTCACTATTTATTATTATTAATACCGAAAATATTATATTACGTTGAGCTTACCTAAAAACAACACTAGTCTCCTCGCTGTCGAAGTGAACTGCATCAGTGAGGGTCCACTGCAGCAGCACACCGTTCCGACCGCCCAACGGCCCACTGATCACCCTTGAAGGCAAGAACCGTTTCTTGTATCTAACACTCTTGACCCGCCTCACCCCGTACAGAGATCTCTTGTTCCTCATCTTTGGTTTGAAGTAGTACTTGCTGTAGTCGCGGTGTTTTCTTGTGCGTTTGGAGCGTTCGCTTCTGGAGCGTTTTGGTTGGAAGTAGGGGGTCTGGTCGTCGCAGGGCTGCTCAGCGTACGAAGTAGGCGTGAAGTTCCCACGAATGAAGTTGTTCACGATCGAGTGGAGGACGTAGTCTCGGAGGATTTGCTCTTCGAACTGGAGGTGGACTGGAAGGAAAAACCGCTGTGAGTGTTTTTGTTTATTATATAAACTAAGGCGAGGAATTCTAATTAGTAGTTTCACCACAGTTTTGAATCTTTTTTTTTTATTGCGTAGATGGGTGGACGAGTCACAACCCACCTGGTGTTAGGTGGTTACTGGAGCCCTAGACATCTACAACGTAAATGCGCCACCCACATTGAGATATAAGTTCTAAGGTCTCAGTATAGTTACAACGGCTGCCCCACTCTTCAAACCGAAACGCATTACTGCTTCGCGGCAGAAATAGGCAGGGCAGTGGTGCCTACCCGTGCGGACTCACAAGAGGTCCTGCCACCAGTAAAGCGGCATATAGCATACAGCAAAGCATATAGCAGAGGTCCGTACTAGGGGCATTTTTCTGTTGTACATCGTACTAGCAGACGCACAAGTGATGGCTCAGGAATACTTACAAATAATATCATTTAATAATATCATTTAATAATATCATTTAATATATCACGCCAATGAGAACGAACGCTGGTCGTATCAAAGTAAATCGGAATTCAAACAGTAAGTTGAATATCGTTAATGCAACGTAAAGCATCAAGATTCTGTCTAAAGCGTCGAGCTTTCACATTTAATTTATATGAAATCATGTGAAAGCGCCGCACAATTTTTTCCGAAAATCGATACGTCCAATCAAACGTTAAAGCTTCCTTCATAGAATTCTCAACAGGAAAAAATAAATATGAGAAAAAATGTTACGTTAAAACGCTCAAGATTCTTGTCATATCCCGTAAGTGAAGTATATAAACTTAGGTCCTAGTTCGTCTATTGGGCTCAATTAAAACGTGAACCGCTCAAACATTTAAAAAATCATCAAAATCAATCCCTGTGGGAGGAGGTTATGTTTGTATGCGATTTGGACCGTGCCTAAAAGAAAAGAAAAAAAATATTTATGTCGTATAGGATATCTGAAACTGTATACAGTTACATTAAAAAAAAAGCTTAAAAAAGCTTTCCCAAAGCTTTTAATGAACTTTTAGACGGTGAAGGAATATTTATAGTAGAGCAGAATAGACTAGAGACGCTTTATTGTATATTACATCAATAATTTTACAATTAAATCCTCCTTCCTATCTCACTTCCTATTTTCAATATCTTCACTCCAGCCATGAGCGGGCCCTACATTCTCTCAATAGCCTATTAATTCGTTGTCCCACACATAGTTCTAGTTATGCTCGTAACTCTTTCGTCGTGCAATCTGTTCTGCAATGGAATGCGCTTCCTCTCGTGATCAGGACTATTACTAATCGCTGCAAGTTAAGGGTTCGGCGAATGCTGTTGGAAGAGTTACCGGAATCGTCATGAACTAATTAAGAGGAAGTTATTTGTTAAGGAAATTTGTTAATGTATTCCTTTTAATATTGTATAAACTATTATATGTATGTATGTATGTGTGTATATATGTATGTATGTATATGTGATTTTGATTGTGTATATATGTAGATACATACTTTTTTGTGTATGTATTTGTAAGTTAATATAAATTTCATTGCACCTACCACTATTTACTCTGCACTACCTTTGGTTGACTGGTAGAGAATTAATTAAGTAAGAAGAGAGAGAGAATTAAGTCCGCCAAAAATAAATAAATAAATTAACATAAATGCACAAATATTAAATATAAATGACATGGGGCGGTTTTAGCGATAAAAGTGATCTCTTCGATATAATAAATATCAATAAGATAATGATAACATGACTATTTTACTTATCATCATCATTATCCTGTATATTATTGTATATGACTATTTTACTTATATAAAAAAATATATTACTAATATAGTACAAATAATAAAAGTAAAAACACTAAGTAAACTATAGTACAATCGAATTTGAAATACAAAAAAAGGAAAACCCGTGCATTGTCACTATAGTTCCTGTGTCTGTCACGAAGTAGTCATACGTTTCTATAAATAATGTATAGAAATTTCTTCACCACCAAGATTATAAACAGAGGTTTTTAACTTGAAATTCAATTTTATAAACATCCAATTCAATTTTGTCAATACTAAATTCTTAGTATTTCAAGGTTAGATGTTTTTTTTTTTTTAATTCCTCTTCTTGCGTTGGATGCCTCAATGCTCAGGATCGTGACGTGCGAGAGAAAGTGAGAAAGAGGGGTTTCTCTGTATCACACGATGTTTTAAAAAAAAACAACTAAAAACAGGAAAATGAAGAAACCGTAAAAGATTATGACTTGAAGACATTTAATTGACATGTAAATATATTTATAAAATTGAATTCCAAGTTAAAAAAACATTTAAGGGTACATTTATTACTTACTACGTTGTATATACGACATTCGTCAAAAACATCTATATACAATATAAAGCGTGAAAAGGATTTGTACTGTTTTGAATGTTTTATTCCACGTATAATCGGCGCTAAAACACCGCGTTGAGCCCCAGGATCTGTCAGTCAATCTCCGTCCGGTCCGGATGCGTAGAACGCGACGGAAACTGAGCATTGCCCCAAAAACGTCCACAAAAGAGGCTATTACCGATGCCAGCCACCGGCCGCGGTATATTGATGGCCGAAATGTATGCTTAGATTGGACAAGGTCACGTTGGTTAGACGTGGAAGCTTCGTGTGTGAACAATAATAATGTAATGTATAGTTCCTGGAACATTGGATCAAATGTTGGACACAATGCAGTGAACGGCTATTTATAAACATTGGTTTTAAGTTAGAAGCTGCCTTTTGTGTTATTTGTGGGTAGATTAAAAATTACATATTGACGGTAGAAAGTATTACAAACCCGTGTGGGTAGGTACCTTTCCTCTGACTATTTCAATTGCGTTCTAGTTTCAGAGGTAAGAATATTTTCAGAATGAAGAGAACATTTTCAGGCATGGAAACGTTCGAAGTAAATGAAAAATACCTACGGAAAATGATGTTCGAAAACTGACCACTTCCAAAATTCGTCGAAAATTTCCAAAAAAATGTAGAGGATTGTCAGAGAATAATGTAAATGAATTATTAAAGTTACTATGTTTTTTCCAAATTCAACTTTTAATATTTAGGCTAAAAAGTTATATTCATTTCCATCACAATGCGATTGAAAGTTGAAGCTCATATCTTTCATCTTCTTTTTTTTCATCTTTATCTTCACATGTTCATCTTTACTTTTTAATTTATTTTTTATTGCTTAGATGGGTGGACGAGCTCACAGCCCACCTGGTGTTAAGTGGTTACTGGAGCCCATAAACATCTACAATGTAAATGAGCCACCCAACTTGAGATATAAGTTCTAAGGCAACGGCTGCCCCACTCTTCAAACCGAAACGCATTACTGCTTCACGGCAGAAATAGGCAGGGCGGTGGTACCTACCCGTACGAACTCACAATAAGTCCTACCACCAGTAAGCCATTAAAAAAAACAATAATTAGATACTAAACTACTAGAAACATATCTACTACTAGACAATACAAACTACTAGAAATACTTGACAAGTCCTTAAGTTACACGATCTCGTTTTTGACTACACGAAAATCCTTTGGGAGTGAAATTATTAATAAATAAACTATTTAAGAAGTTATTGAATACCAAGAGTTATAGCAGTTTCGAATATTCAACTGCTTTTGTGCGGATAATATTTCGAGCGAGACGTATTGAATTTTAATTAGACAAGTTTTAGTTATATGGATGTAATAAATAGTTTGGTAAACCAAAGATGTGGTTTTAATCTATACTTCAATATCTCTGCTATAATACTCTGTATATAAACTTTATATTTTTATGCGAAATTTTGTATTTTTTTTGTGTTTGTTGCTCAATCATATAAAAATTGCGGAACAGGATTTGATGAGAATATAATTAAGAATTTAATCTCATACTTCTAGAGCTTAATTATCTTCTATCTTCTATATACATAAAAATGAATTGCTGTTCGTTAGTCTCGCTAAAACTCGAGAACGGCTCGACCGATTTGGCTTATTTTGGTCTTGAATTATTTGTGGATGTCCAAAGAAGGTTTAAAAGGTAGATAAATATGAAAATACTCGGAATTAAATAAAAATAATGTTTGACGTTTTTGAACGACGTAATTTGACGTTTAAATCAAACCACGACTTTTCACGGCATAAGTAGCCATAATTGTTGTATGCGCCCAATGTTTCCTACCCTCAGTAATTAATGAAATTCTATATTCAGCGGTTTTTATTATTATAATAAAATTATAATCCTGACTGTGAAAATTATGATAATGATTAAACTATCAAGAAGTTTAGGAGTATAAACAGATATTATTATTCACTTAGATTAAGTATGTTTATTCTTGGCCGTAAGGAAAATCTGATTTGAATTTGAATTGTATAACATGCCTTTCTCAATAAGCTCTTGAGATAATAATACTTCACAGCAACTTTATCATAAGGATTTCTTATTGAATAAACATTACAATCGTATAAACTTGAACTAAAATGAAATTCCTTGTAATTTTTTGTTATTTGTAGATCGGTGCAAGAGCACACGGCTTACCTGGTGTGAAGTGGTAACTGGGTCCGTGGATATCACAACACACATGTAGCCGACGTTTAAATTTTTGTTTAACAGCCGTCCTGCCCTTCAATCCAGGGAAGATGTCTGTTTCGCTGTAGTCATAGGCGAAGTCATATGGCATAGATCGTGCGGGCTCACAACTAATTAAAATATATTTATAATAATATGCATTCTTAAGTTCTTTTTTCAATTATTTGTCAAAGTTTATGAGTTTTCATTTAAAAATAATCATTGTGAATGTGATTTATCAGAAGTTAAAGAGTGAGTTTATGGAAATTTTATTTTATGTCATAATAAATATTCTGATCAAACCAAATGTAAAACACACACAAACATATTACGTAGCTTACTTCAGTTACAAACCACTTATTATTTGTATTAGAATATAATAATATTGAAAACTTTTTAATTTTTGATGCTTTTATTGCCCTTGTCTGTCTCTGTCTGATGAGCATACGG